GTCGCGGGCCTGCGTCGGGAGGGGGCGCGGCGACGGTACCCATGCGGCGACGGAGGACCCGCGCGGTGGTGCCGGTGTCCTCGGCGCGCCCCCACCGCGAGAGTTTGGGGGGCAGAGGGGGCAGTGCGTGCGGCGGGCGCAGAACGGAATGGGGGGGGGTCCGGCATATCTGGAGTCGCCGCGCCTCGAGGGGAGCGCCGTCCGTCGCTTCGACGAGAAGCGTCTTGAGGTGCTCTTCCCCAGTGAGCAGAGAGTGCTGCGAGAGGGAGGACTGCCCCGCGACGACCGCGCACATGGCGGCCACCTTTTGCAGCGCGTCGTCGCCCTCGAGCAGCGCCGCCGCCGCCTCCTTAAAGTAGGGCAGCAGCCGCGGGTCGACGGTGCCGATCCGGCGGGGCACGAGCGCGGCGGCGGCGCCCATCACCGTCTGGACGGACGGCGGTCCCTGCTTCGCGAACCGGATGCCTACAGGAAGGTTCCAGGACAGGTCCAGGACAGGTCCAGGAAGAGGTCCCTGCTTGCGGACCGGATGCCGGTGCGCCGCTCGAGGTCGCCGACCGACCTCCGCTCGCGCTCCGAGTGCAGCAGGATCGCGGTGCCCGAGCGGCCGGCACGGCCGGTGCGGCCGGAGCGGTGGACGTACGACTCCGAGTCCTGAGGTGGGTGGTGCTGCACGGTCAGCGGCCTGGAGGTGTCTTGGTGAGGGTGTCTAGAGCCGGTCCTGCGGCAGGCGGTACTGCACGATGAGGTCGACGCCCTCGATGTCGATGCCGCGCGCGGCGACGTCGGTGGCGACGAGCACGGGGAAGTGGCCGTCGCGGAACTTTTGCAGCGTGGTCTCGCGCGCCTTTTGCGAGATGTCGCCGTGCAGCGGCTGCGCGGACAGCGGCGCCAGCGCCGCAGAGACGCAGAGCTCATCCACCTCGCGCTTGGTCGCGGTGAAGACGATGGTGCGCGTGTCGGCGCCCGTGGCGTGGACTGAGATGAGGTCGGCGAGCGTGCGCGCGCGGCTCGCCTCTGCGTCAGGAGTCAGGACGGCGATGTGCTGGACTGTCGACGCCGCCTGCAAAGGGGGAGGGGGAGAGGTTGGTGTGTGTGTGTGCGCGCGAATGTGTGCGCATGTGTGTGTGTGTTTGGGGGGCGGCGGCGGGTGGCGGAAGGGGGGGGAGAGGCCGCCTCGCTGCGGCCACGGCCGACTACGTCGATCAGCTCGGGCGACTTTTGGTACTCCCGCGCGACGGACTTGACCCAGGGCGGGTGAGTGGCGGAGAAGAGGACGGTCTGGCGGAGCGAGTCGTCGGTCGCCTGGGGGAGATCGCGGGAGGTTGTGGGTGAGATCGCGGGAGATTATGTACATGTGTGTGTGTGTGTGTGTGTGTGTGTGTGTGTGTGTGTGAGTGAGTGAGTGGTTGTGAGTGTGTGCGTGCGGAGGGCCTGCAGGATGGTCTCGACGTCGTCCTTGAAGCCCATGTTGAGCATCTCATCCGCCTGTTCACACCTCCGGCTGTGAACGGCGTCTCTTCACACCTCCTTGAAGCCCATGTTGAGCATCTCATCCGCCTGTTCACACCTCCGGCTGTGAACGGCGTCTCTTCACACCTCCTGCTGTGAACATGGTCAGCATCTCATCCGCCTCGTCGAGCACTGCGAACCGGACGGCCGAGAGGTCGAGCGCCCCCTCGTTGAGGTGGTCGATGATCCGGCCCGGCGTGCCGATGAGCACGTCGACTCCGTCGCGCAGCGCCCGCTGCTGCGGCGGGTATGGCACGCCGCCTACGCGAAGGTTCCGAGAAGGCTCCGAGAAGGCTCCGAGGAGGCTCCGAGAGGAGGCGGTGCGCCGGTGCGGAGGAGGGGTGTATCTCCCCGCATCTCCCCGCGTCTCGGCTCTCTCCCTCCCAGCCCCACCGTGAAAGAGGACGGTGCGAAGCCGGTGCGGCGTGGCGAGCATCGAGCAGACCTGCGAAGAGGCGACCCGCCGTCAGGATGGGGCAAGAGGGGGGGGGCACGAGGGGGGGCAAGAGGGGGGGGGAGAGGAGGGGCAGAGGCGGGGCGGGGCAGGGCGGGGCGGTCGGAAGCGGCGCGCACCTCCGACACTTGGCGAGCGAGCTCGCGCGTGGGGGCGAGGACGACCATCCGGGGCGTGCGGCCGCGCGGCAGTCTCTCGCCCGGCTCCTGCAGCTCCGCCAGCGCCGTGATGAGCGGCAGCGCGAAGGCGAGCGTCTTTCCTGTGCCGGTCCGCGAGCGGCCGAGCATGTCTGCGCCGCCCTTGAGCAGGCTGAAGGACTTGGCCTGGATGGGCGTGAAGTGGGTGATGCCCTTGGCGGCGAGGACGGCGACCGTCGCCGCGCCCACGTCGAACGACGCGATCGGCGGCCGCTCCGGGTCGTACTCCTCCTCCTCCTCCTCCGTGTCCTCCTCCGCCACGCCCAGCGCGCTCTCGCCGCCGCGGCCCTCTGACCGGAGCGCGCGCTCAATGGCGGCGGTCGGGTCGGCCGCGTCGAGATCGAGGTCCAGATCGATGTCGAGGCTCTCGGAGCCGACTGTCAGGTCGGCCGGTGCCCCCAGCTCCAGCAGCTCGAGCGGCCCGCCGCCGGCGAGCGGAGAGGAGGCGCCGTTGGCGGGAGCGACCGCGATGGGTGGAGCGTGGCGGTGGTGCACCGCGTGACGGCTCGCTGCGTGATACGGTGCAGTGAGCGCCGCAGCAGTAGTGACTGCGACCAGCGAGAAGAGGGCGCGCATGCCCGTTCCGTGCAGCGTCCGTCGAAGATCACGCCTTGTCCCTTCTCGCTCGATCTCGCTCGATTTTCTTTTTCTGTCGGCTTACGAGCTGGCTGTGTGTCTTGTGAGCCTGTTTGTGTCTGTGTGTCGCTCGTGCGTGTCGTCATCATCTGTCCAGCGTCCACCCATACCGCGTTGGTGTCCAGTCCGAGCCTGGCTGTTCTTCACCTTTCTACCTACAACATGTACATGTACCTACCTACCTCTCTCCGAACTCCACGCAGATTTTTGTGAACTCCGAGGAGGGCGCCGAGTCCCGAGAGAGTCACGGCTCACGCGGTGTCGCTGTCGCGCCGAGGAAATCACGCGATGTTGGGTGCCGAAGGCGCGAGATCGCGATCTCAAACTCACGAATGGGAACACCTCTGCAAACTCACCCACCAAGCTCTCTCTGATCTCTTCGCAGGTTCTAACTGATGCCGACCTCTGGCTTGCCGGCCTCGCTGGTCGACGGCTCCCTCGGCCGGCTCGCCGCCCCGGCGTCCGCCGCCTCCCAGCGCGCCAGCACGCGCACCGCCTTGGCCGAGTGGTCGACGAGGCACACGCGCGCTTGCTCGGCGTCGACGCACACCCCACTCAATCGGCCAGCGCTCGGCGTGACGAGGGTCTGCAGGTGCGCGCCGTCGGCCGCGTCGAGCACCTGCAGCCGGCCGCGCCGCCCGCCGCTCGCCGCGCCCTCGGCAACGAGGAGCCGCCGCTCGGCCGCGCCGCCGGACCCCGCACCGGGCGGCCGCCACAGCGCGACGCCCCACGGGAATTCAAACTGGCCGGGCCACGTGCCGCGCTGACCGAGGCGGCGCAGGCGGGAGCCGTCGGCTGTGCTAAACACGTGCACCTCGTGCGCCGAGCCGTCGACGACGAAGCACTCGGTCGCGTCGGCGGCGATGCCCGATGGCAGCTGCAGCACATGCGCCTCCTCGTCCTCGTCCGCCGCCTCGGCGGCGGTCTCGGCGCTGCCACTCGCCTCGGCGCCACCACTCGCCTCGGCGCCTAGGCGGCCCGCCATGAAATCTAGCCGCGTGTGCTGGCATCCGGGTCCCACAGTGGGTTTCATGTAACAAGCGGCATAGCCACTGGCGTGGACGCGCTCGCCTCTAAGATACCTGGCGGCCTGCCCAACCTGATCCTGTCCTCGGTGCTGCTGCTCTCCTTCATTCCGTACTTCCTCCCGGAGGATGTGCGTCCGGACCTGTGGAAGTGAGTGACGGCCCCGCGAGCCCAACGGCGTCTGTCCGCTCAACGATGGCACAAATATATATGACTAGCTTGGTGGCTCGCTAAACGCTCGCCTCGCTGTCATGTGTGCGTGTGCGTACTTCCCGAGTGGCGGAGCTATACTCCGAGGCAGGTCAGGTTGGTTGTAAAATGAACGAAAACACGCTATTGCACACTCACAACATACGTCTCGAATGACCTGTCCTACACCTCTCCTACATCAAATCGCCATTCGAGCGCCGTTGGCTCGAGCGCCACGATGCGGTCGTTGCCATAGTCGCAGACAAACACGAGTGGGCCGTGCGCCGCCGTGTCCGCGAGCGCCACACCCTGCGGATATTTGAAGCACCCGTCGCCGTAGCCGCGGCTGCCCACGCCGGCCACGACCGCGCCAGTGGCCGCATTCATCTTGATGACGCGGTGATTCGACCGGTCGGCGACGAAGAGGTGCTCACCGCTAGGGTCGAACGCGAGGCCCTTGGGGTAATTGAGGCCGTCGGCTGCGCCCGACGCCCAACCGAACTTGCCGAGGGTGCGCACAACCTCTCCGGTCACGAGCGAGCAGATGACGATGCGGTGCTGGCTCGACTCGGCGATGGCCACCAACGAAGCGGCAGGTGAGCACGCGACGAATGTTGGGTCCTTGGCCTTGAGCGACCGCGCCAAAATCTGTATTGCGCCGTCTGCCGGTCGCAGCACTCCCTCGGAGGCGAGGCGCGGCAGTGCGACAGAGCGCCACGTGTGCGAGAGCGCAGCGGCCACCGCCACGTCGTGCGCCGCGCCAAGGTGCGCAAGGACGACCGAAATCTCGTCGACGCCGAGCTCGCGGCGGCCGCCGGCGGGCGGCGGCGCCAGCATATACACATTGCAATACAGACAGGCGCGCGATACGACACAAAGGTTAAGTTGTCGCGATAAATAAAATAAATAAAGACATCCCAAGCTAGGGCTGGGTCGAGGACAGACACGTCCCCACCTTTGCAGGATTTTGCAAAAGCGAGGGGGGAGGGCGCATCGCCGCGCGGAGAGGGCTGGGCACAGGGCACAGGGGATCTCTCTCGCATAGGATATGCACTCGGCGGCACGAGGGCAAGGCTGGGCGTCCTATGTTTGTGCTCCGCGACGCTGTGCTGGAAATGTTGCTTTCTTTCTTTTATGTGTCTAGCCAGTGAGGAGAATCTACCCTTATAAGTCTCTCGTGTCCGCGCCGACGCTCTTTTAACGTAGAACGTCCCAGCTACACCGCCCGCCGACGATCGATCAGTCCACAATCGTCGGCCCGCAGCGACCCGCAGCGATGGATGCCGCCGCCCCCCCGGCCACTGCGGCCGACGCGCCGATGCACGACCGGCCTCCGTCGGATGGCTCTCCGGCCTCTCCGGCCGCTGACGCGGCCGCCCATGCTGCTGCCGATCCGGTCCCTCTCACGCTCAGCGATATCCGCACAAGCTACGACAACTTTGAGGTCGCCGGCTTTGGCCAGGTGCAGCCACCACCTGCGTGCCTCCATGTTCACGCTTCGCGCCCCTCCCCCCTCTCTGACGCCGCCGTCTGACCTTAGGTGAGGGGCACGACTACCCGCCTGGAAGGCGCTCTCATCAGCAAGTCACCCAGGCACCAACTCCTGGGCGTTTACGCTTGACTACGAAACCATGCAGTGGATGCAGCTCGATCAAAACAGCGACGCCAACAGCCAACAGCTGGCCCCTGGGCGAGTTCCTTGCCCAGGATGAGGTGCGAGCCATGATGCTCGACCCAGCGTGCACCAAGCCGCTCACATTCCGTGAGTTCGTCAACGGGCTCTCCAAGTCGACGGCGATCTCGAACTCCGACAACCGGACCGATGCACCAGCCGCGGAGGACGATAGCTCCCTCGACGACATCCCTTCATCGACGGACGCCTTCACCGCCGCCGGCCCTGGGCCATCCATCGCGGCCTCCGACTGGCTGCCGCAGGTCACACCCTATCTATCTTCCTTAGGCACGGAGCCGACGGAGCCATCGCGCACGCCCGCAGCATCGCGTGCTGCTCCGAGGTCTCCCGCCGAGACCGGCTCGGCGCGGCTTTGACTGACGTGACTGACTGATGAGTGCTTGCGATGGAGAGAGATGTTGTTGCGATGGATGATCTCCGACACCCCCAAAACCAAAACGCAAATTGCCCCACTTTGGATCCTGCGTCTCTCACTGCCCGAACAACAGAGGCGGGTACCGCCGCAGGTCCCCCACTAGTTGTCTTTTTATTTTTGTATTTTTCTTTCACCTGCGCCCGCCGCCCGCCGTCGACCTCCGGCGCACGAAAACCGCCGCAGTCCCGCCGTGAAACCCGACCCCCCCCCCCCCCAAATGGACGACCTCCGCTCGCTCGAGCACGGGCTGATCGCGCTGGCCGACCGCGCGACATTGCAGCGCCCGTGCGCTCGACTCGGCAGAGTGGCTGCCGCAGGCGGAGAGACTGTGCAGAGGAAGCTCGGAGAGCGGCTTGGGGAGCTGGGTTCTGCTGACGCGGCGGTCGTGAAGCGCGCCCTGATTCTCGTGGCAGATGAGCTGCATAAGCTCTCCACGCGTGGCCGGCGGAGTGCTGCGTGGCTGGACGCGGCGCCGACCAACGCGCACTCATTGGGTGAGCGCGTCGGGAAGGCGCTGCTTGCGTACGTCGATGCCGTTGCGGCCAAGACGTCAGACGACCACGTGCTCCCAACGCTGCGGTCGGCGACGGCGGCTCTGCAGGAGTCCCGCAAAGGCGCGGCGGTGGCGCTGACGACAGATGCCGATCGGCTCGCGGGCGAAAAGGAGCGCGCGTTGGCCGAGGCAACCGAGCAGGCGGCGCGACTGGCCGCGTCGCTCGAGGAGCGGGTCGGCGGCTGCATGGCGGCGCGGGAGGCGACCGTCCGCTCTTTTTCTCTCGAGGTGGCGCACCTTGAGAGCGCATTGGCCGCCTTGGCGGCGGAAGAGGGCAGGCGGCGAGCGGCGCTCGGCAGGCTAGAGGAGGCGGCGGCCCTCACCTTTGCCCGTTTCCCCGCTCCTCTCTCACCCAACCCCTGTGCACGCCCATCCCGCAGGCGCGAGCATCGGCGAACGACAGCGTCGGGAAACGGATGGCCGACTCCCTGGCTGAGCTGGGGCGGGCTTCGGCGTCCTCTCCTGAGGCGTTGGCGCTGCGGCGTTCGCGGGCACGGCTCCGGCACGCGATGCTGGAGCGGAGCATCGGCACCAACAGGCGGGTCGTCGTCGAGGTCGAGCGGGCGCGCGCGTCCTTTGAGGCCGCGAACTGCTTGATGTCCGAGGCAAAGGCGGAGCAGAGGCGGCGTGTCGTGCGTGCTCTCGCGCTCGCCTCTGCAGTCGAGGAGGTGCGCAGCGCGCTGCTCCCGCGACGCGGCGCCGACGCCCGGCTCGGACCCGATTGAGCTCTTTACGTCGTAGCATATGTGCACAGACCGCCGTGTGCGGATCGATGGTAAGGCTTTGTGCACGCTGCTGTGTGCCGCAGCCGCCCGAGCCCGCGCAGGTGCCAGGACACCGCACCCCCACAGGCCGCCAGTTCACTAGATCACTTTCTGGAGCAAAAGAAACCGATAACGAACGAAAAACTAAGAGCAGAGGAGGAGGCGGTCCTGTGAGCACACGTACACGTAAGGTAACACGTACACACGTCCTAAGGTACGACTCGCGCAACTCCGGCGGCTCCTCGGGTTGGGGACCGTCTGAAACTGGGAATCTTGTCTCCGGGGACGCAACCACAAATCCCACCGGCGGTGGGCAGGGTGTCTGGAGCGTGAAGGTGCGTTCCTGGTGACTGGTACATGAATCAAAAGGAGCAAAATTCAGATACAGATTCTTTTCCAGCAAAGTTTTACATGAGTTCAAGACTTTTTTAGAGTTCGTTAGTCAGCAGCCGCTCGCGATGAACCTCGATGATTCACAAATTCACATTGCGATAGTCGACGTACGTCTCGACGGCAGCCGCCCACGCAGCGTCGTGCTCCGCCCACGCCTCGAGGTTCTCCTCCTTTACGCTGATCCATCGAAACGGCAGAGGTGTGGCGGGATCGTCTACCCCGGAGTAGTCATTTGGCAAGAGCACCATCATGCGGTCGATCCTCTCGTCAAACCTGTGCGCAAACCCGATGCTGCCGACTTGCCAGGAAGCGACCGACGAATCCGACGATCGCACGCGCACGACGCATCCGACCAGCGGGTGCAGGTCCGTCTCGTGCTCGTCATCCGCATCCGGCAAGTCAACCACCACTATCTTCGGGGCCTCGGTCTCCACAGTGTGTGGCTGACCGCCGCGCTTGAGCCGGCGGCGGTACAGCACGCGCGAGAGGCAATGCTGCAGGGTCGGCACTAGGAAAGCGTCCGTCGCCCACCGTGACAGATGCCGCTGCCCCTCGCTGCGGCTGTGCTCCTGCAGGACGTGCTCGATGTCCTCGAGATCAACAGACTGGGCCAGTAGATGCTCATACGCTCCGGCCAGGACGCGCAAGAGAGCCGGGACAGTGCCGGGCAGCGGCTCGTGCGTGAGACGGACGTAGTTCCCGCCCAGAGCAAGAGCAACCGCACTGGCGTGCGGCGCGGAGCCTCCTGGCAACACGACGGTGCGCGGCACGATGTCTTTCACATCGATGTGCCGGAGGCTGCCCCTCTCCGAGTACTGCCGCTGATCCAGCACAATGTACTTCAATAGCCGCGCGTGTCGCTGCACGGCCTCCCGCAGTGAGTCCAGACGCCCGGGCGAAGCGATCGCCCGCGCTCCACCGGGCAGAATCAGTGGGCTCGCGTCGATCGGGATGAAGAGGAGGCCGCCAGCCGGGTGGATGGACCACCACTCTTCCATGTGATCGTCGAGCTCCTCGCCGGTGCGCACCTCTGCCACGGGAAGGTCTGGCACGTTGAGCGCTTCGGTCCACGCCGGCCACGTGGTTTCGGGCGCGATGATCCAGAACGGACCGCGGATGCCTTCCTCGTGCAGGTGCTTGATCGTGGCCGCGCAGGGCTCGATGCTGTTGAGGCCGGGGTCGTCCGCGAGCACCGAGTTGAAGCCCGCTTCCCACCCGGCGACGAGCCAGTTGCATACGACTCTGTCCGCGTCGGCGAGGCCGAGGATGGCACGCGACGGCTTCACATTGAGCGTTTTCTCGGCCCGCTGCTTCGCAAAGAAGTCCATCGCCAGCTTGAAGCGGACCAGCCTCTTATCGAGCTCGGCCGCAAGCAGAGGCTTCGCGCCGGCCGCGTGCCAGACGCGGCACACGCAGCGCGCGGCCCGCAGCGTCGCGATGATTCGGTCGTTGACCTGCTGCGCCTCCAAGACTCGCGCGCGGGGCATCCGGCCAGAGACCGTGAAGAGCATGCCCTCGACGATGTCCTCGTCCGAGAGCAGATTGCGCTGCGCGGCTGAGCTTGGCGCGGCCTCAGCCGCAGGCAGCGAGTAGTGCGAGCCGCCGACGTGAAGGCCGGCCAGCGAGGAGGTGAGGCGATCGGCGTCCGTCATTCAGGCGTTGAGTGAAGAATTTAAGTGAGTGAAGAAAGCGCGGAGCCCACGCAGCTCTCGAGGTTCTCGAGGTGGATATCCTTTGGCCGCGTTGGGTAGCGAGGATTGGTGTAACCCGAGCCACGGAGGCGTGTTTTCTGACGGCCGACCGTCAGTGCACGGAGTTGCCCCTTCTCCGACTGCCCCGGCTAGTTCCCGAGTTTCGCGGGAGTGACCCCATGCGTCAAACCCGAGACCTAGCGCGGGTGGGTTGGAGGGGCCTCGGAAAGGCGCGCAAGCACGCCCTACGTCTTCCCCTCCTCCCCATCGGGCCGCATGAGCGGCCACGCCTCGCAGATTCGTTTCCGCGCCTGGGTCAGGCGCGCGGGGCATCCCCCGGGTCGCTCGACCAGCGATCCGAAGAGTGGCCGCTATGCGAAGGAAAGAGTGGGGCCCTCGACGCCTCAGTCCGGCCCTCCGAGGGGGGAAGGGAATTGCGGGGTCCCCTCGGCGCTTCATTCTTCCCTCCTCAAGGGGGGGATGTACTTCCCGCGTTTTTTTTTTCTCCCGTTCCTCCCCCTTTTTTTTT